AGCCAAGGGGCCCCACCCGCACCCCTTTCTGCCCTTACTCCCCTCCGGCAGGGTGCTGCATCCTGGGGGGCCAAGATGCTGGAAGATGCTAAGGCAGGGGTGGGGTGATGCTGCCACAACTCCCAGGATTTGGGACAGCCCTGCCAGGCTTCCTGGCTCTCCCCAGACCCATGTGCCGAGAGCTGGGGTGTGGCTGTGTCCCCCACCGCTGGGGAGGCCGTGGGGTGCGTGTGCCTGTCCCAAAGGATGGGATGGTCTCAGCGTCCTAGCTGGAGAGCAGGGTGGTCCCAGGGCAGTCCCCGGGGTGCTCAGCTGGCCCCCCAGGAGGGGCGAGCACGGGGTGCAGCAGCAGGGCGCAGCATGGGAGCATGGCATGGCTGGTCAGGGGCTGCTGGGAATCACGGCTTGGCTGCACCACAGGTGCTTCTGGGTTTTCCCGCCCTGTCATGGTGTTTACGTGCTGACTGGCTTCTAACCACCCCGCTCATGCCTGCGGCCAGCTTGGCACACAGCACGGAAAACAGCGGCTGGGCCAGGGACAGGCTGTCCCCATGCCTGCGCCCAGTGCTCTCGGTGGGGTTTTTGTTGCAAACGGGGCAAGTTTGGGCTCAGAGCTGGGGTCGGTCCCCATGGTACCCAGGCCAGTGGGCACAGGGATGAAGAGCAGGTCGGTCGCCCCGGGAGGTTGTGCCAGGGAACGGCTCGTGCTTGTTTGCAAAAACTCTGGGGTTTGTTTCTTGGTTTTGTTTTGTTTTGTTTTTTTCCTGGCAGTGTTTTGCAGGCAGCAGCGGGGGTGTAAATACGAGGCTGAGCCAGCAGGCACTGTGCTCCCCCCTGGCTGAGCAGGACAGGAGAGGTGAAATCACAGTGCACGTGTTGTCTTACTGCACATAAACATGGGTTGTGAAATCGCTTCCTGGACACCCCCCCAGCACGGTGCTGCCGGACGGTGCTGCCCCCGAGTCGTGTGTCCCCCCGCCCCGTTGGGGATGGTCTCTGGTGCACCCCCCTGTGAAGAAAGGAGAGCCCCCCGCCACCTGAAATGGGGATGTGCACCCTGACATGGGGCCATGCCAGAAAGCAGGGAGGGGTGAGCATGCAGGGGTGAGGCTGTGGGGGGAGGCAGGAGAATTTCCAGGTTTCTGGGAATCCTGCACATCACCCATGGAGGGGCTGTCCTGGATGCCAGGGCACATGGCCCCGAGTCCCCCGTCACTGCGAGCGGGAAGGGGCGGCGCAGCATCCCCACGGGACTGTGTGTGGAGCAGGGAGGGGAACAGATCCCGGAAAATGCCCTCTTTCCCAATCAGGGCATTTCCGCTGAATAATGAAGTCACCCCGCGGTGAGGCAGGGCGGGATGAGATGTGCCTCCCCTGAGCCGCAGGTTTGCCAAAATGCCAGGGTGCAGGGCACGTGCCAGATGCCAGTGGGGAGAGGGGACCTCAGGGGGTTTCCCACATCGTTGTGCTGGTACTCCGATTTCCCGGGGCTGGCATGGAGCGGTTAATCCTGAGGCTGTGCCTGTGTAAGAGGAATGCTGGGTCCAACTCTGATTTTATAGCAGCCGTAAACTGAGCAGAGAAACTGCAGCTGCCCAGCACAGGGCTCGGGTCTCAGAGCTGAGCTGCCAGGGCCCCCATCTGCCCCCCACTTCCCATGAAGACAGGGGACAGCATTCCATGCTGCCCTGGTGCACGGGGACAGGCAAGGGGCAGAGCCATGGGGCAGGACCGATGCCAACCCCTCCCAGCATGGGGAAGGGACCCAGTGGGATCCCCCACGACATCCTTCTCTCTAAAACGGAGAGAGATGGATTTGATATGTGGACTGTTCAGTGGATGAGGAATTGGCTGGACGGTCGCATCCAGAGTGTAGTGGTCAACAGCTCAGTGTCCAGATGGAGCCCAGTGATAAATGGTGTCCCTCAGAGGTCCATACTGGGACCAGTACTGTTCCATATCTTCATCAGCCACATAGATGGTGGGATCGAGGCAACCCTCAGCAAGTTTGCAGATGACACCAAGCTGGGTGGTGCAGTTGACACTCCCGAGGGACAGAATGCCATCCAGAGGGACCTGGACAAGCTGGAGAGGTGGGCTTGTGTGACCCTCATGAGGTTCAACAAGGCCAAGTGCAAGGGTCAGGGAAACCCCTGGTATCAATACAGGCTGGGGGATGAAGGGATTGAGAGAGAAGGACTTGGTGGATGAAAATCTGGACATGAGCTGACAATGTGCACTCACAGCCCAGAAGCCAACCATACCCTCGGCTGCATCCCCAGCAGTGTGGCCAGCAGGCGGAGGGAGGGGATTCTGCCCCTCTGCTCCACTCTGCTGAGACCCCCCTGCAGCCCTGCGTCCAGCTCAGGGGTCCCCAGCACAGGACAAACGTGGACCTGTTGGAGCAGGGCCAGGGGAGGCCACAGAAATGGTCTGAGGGCTGGAACAGCTCTGCTGGGAGGAGAGGCTGAGAGAGTTGGTGTTGTTCAGCCTGGAGAAGAAAAGGCTGTGGGGAGACCTGACTGCTGCCTTTCAGTGCTTAAAGGGGGCTTATGAGAAAGATGGGGACAGACTTTTTGTCAGGGCCTGTTGCGATAAGACAAGGGGTAATGGTTTTAAACTCAAAGAGGGCAGATTTAGACTGGATAGAAGAAAGAAATTTTTTACAGTGAGGGTGGTGAGGCACTGGCAGAGGTTGCACAAGAGGTTGTGAATGCCCCATCCCTAGAAACATTCCAATCCAGGCTGGACGGGGCTCTGAGCAACCTGATCTGGTTGAAGATGTCCCTGCCTATGGCGATGGGGGTTGGACTGGATGGCCTCTAAAGGTCCCTTCCAACCCAAACTGTTCTGTGATTCTATGAAACCCACCAGGGACAGCGAGGCTGGAAAGATGCTCCCAGCCCCACTGGTTAAACCACATGTTTGGGGATAAATCCCATTAGCAACATCTCCTTCACACTTGTTGTGGGCTCACCAACAATGTTTTTTGCATAATTGGCACTTAAATCTCTCCAGATAGCAAGGAATAAAAATAACCCTGCTATTTGCGGAGTAGAGTTTAGTCTGATGCTCCGGAGCTGATGCTGCACCCTGCCTACCCTGCCCTACATTCAGCTGGCGTAGGGATGTGCTGTGGGGTGATGGTGACATCTCAGGGGACACCCTGGGGAAAGAGCCCTCCTGGAGCAAAGGGGTGTCCCCTGGGCATTGGCACTGCAAGCAGCTGGTGCACAGGGGTGGCCTCGGCCATGCCGAAACCCTGGCTGAGTCCTGGCAGCAGTAGCTGGATAGGTCAGGAAGGGTTTTGGAATGAAAAAGAGGCCACAGAAGGTTGTTTTTGGGGATCGCAGGGACAGGCAGGACCCCTTGTGTGTCCTGGGAAGCAGCACGGTGCCACGTGGCACCCGGGGTGCAGCGTCCTGGCTGGGCAAGCATCACACCCCAGCATGGGCATCCCATCCCATCGCAGGCACTGCACCCTGGCATGGGCACAGCAACCCATTGCTTGCATCGCAGCCCACTGTGGGCGTTTTATCCTGGCATGGGCATCGCAACCCATCGTGGGTGTTGCAATCCGTCATGGGCGTTGCATATCATCACAGATATCGCAACCCATCACGGGCGTCGCATCCCATTACAGCTATCGCACCCCAGTGGGGGTGTTGCATCCCATCACAGGTATCGCACCCCATCCCAGGCGTCGCATCCCATCAAAGGTATCACACCCCATCCCGGGCGTCACATCCCATCGCGGGTATCGCACCCCACTGTGGGCATCCAGGTCACCTGGGGCTCCCCGCAGAAGCGCCCCGCCAAGGCTGGCAGAGGTGGCGGGGGGACAAGCAGGGTGGTTCTTCCAGCCGGTTCAAGTAAACTGCCAGGAGGAAAACTAAACCTGTTTCCCCACCACCCCGCCTGCCGTGGAAACGTTACCCCTGGAAATGGGCAGGGCTGCAGCGGTTATTACTGCGCTGCTGGTGAAAGCTTGTAATAAGGAGCTGCTCGTTAGCCCCGAGGATTTCTGGTGGAGGTGAGAGCATGGGATTTGCCCTTGGGTAACAACAGGGAGGGGGAAAAAAACACCCTATAAATTACCTTGTTGTGCAGGGAAAGTGTTAAAGCAGGAGTCAGAGCGGCTGGTAGGGAGGGCAGAGCCAAGAGTGGAAGAAAGGAGCAGACATAAGACACGGGCTCTTTGCCATGACCCCCAAAACGCGCTGCCCTCCCGCTCCCTGGGGGAACCACCCCAACCAACAGAAGTGCCAGGCTCCTTATAGACCTTTATATACACATCACTTTATTTCGGTAGCTTATTAAACGTTGCATGTGACAAACACTAAACACACCTGAACACATATAAAAAAAACCCAAACCCAACATACACAATAAAGTTATTCTTCTTCAGCCCCCCCCAGATGTGCAGGCCCCCCAGATGTGCGGCCGGGGGTCCCTATTTGCAGCAGCTGCACTTGGCGGAGGGGGGTCCCTTGCAGACGCAGCCCTGCGCACACTTGGCACATCCCGCCGGGCAGCAGGAGCAGCAGCCTGTGGAGGAAGGAGGGGAGAAAAATAAGTTCGGGATGTTCCCAGGGGCGTCTCAGGGTGGGGTTTGTCAGGGTTCCAGAGGGGTGGCTGGTTTGGAGACCTCCCACTGACCGCCATTTCCTCCCCTTTTAGCAGCATCCCCATCCCTGGTGGCATCTCCCGGGTGTTTTTGCATCCAGGGCCAGCAGCAGGACGGTGCGGCACCCCCAGGGCCTCACCAGGGCCCCCCTAGCCCCCACTCTGCAAACCCTCCTGCACACAGCTCTGCCCGGGGGGTGACAGCATCAGGAGCAGCTGGAAGAAATCCTGGTGCCGGTTTCCTCCCAGGGCATCCCCTTGTGCTGAGCCTGAGGCACCAACGAGGGGTACACTGGGTTTTGGGTTATACCGGGTGCTTTGTATTGCCTGGAGGGGTGCGGAATTGACCCTGTGCTCCTCTGGGGGCAAAAAAATACAGGAGGAATAAGCTGAACTCTGGCAATGCTGAGCCTGATTTTTCCAGGGATGTGTCATGAAAACGCCCATGAGTGTTTCTGACCCCCCGCCCCTGCCATGGGTCTCAGGGACCCCCATTACCTTTTTTGCATGATGTGCATTTGCAGTTTTTGCATTTGCAGTTGTCCCCGCAGGTGCAGGTGCCACCTAAAACACAGAGAAAAGGAGAAAAAGGGTTGAGAGGAGGTGGTGGGAGGGGATTCCCACATCCCCAGGGATCAGCGGGGATGCTCCTGGCCAGGGGCCACAGGAGCGTCACTGCCCCTCTGAGCGTCCGCTCTCTGGCAGCACCGGCCGGGGCTGATGCTTCGGCCTCGCTTGGCAGGGAGGTTATGGCATTCCCGGCCTCTTCCCGGAGAGATGCTCCAGGTGTGACACGGCAACACTGAGAAAGGATTTCAGCAGCCGGCTCGGCCAGGATAAGAGCATCGGGGATGGCGGAGGAGGCCGGCAGGCGGGAGCATCGGTGGTCCTGCTGGGATACTCCAGCTCCCGCAGCCCCCTGGGGCCGAGGCAGAGGGAAGCGGTGGCTTACCCGTGGCGCAAGGGCAGTCCTGGGAGTCCATGTCTGCCTGGGCTGGCTGCCGGCTGTAGGAGGCGTTGGGCGATGAGAAGAGCGACGTTGGCAGGACTCGCAGCCGCCTTGTATTTATCCTTGGCCGGGTGAGAGCGAGTGCAAAACCTCCGCCCCTTGCAGCCTGCGCACGGCTCAGCCCGGCACCTGCCCCGGGCACTGCTGATTCACTCCCCGTGCGGCTGGGCAGGACCCGGGGTGCTGAGGGTGGCAGGGGGGGGTGCCTGGGTGACCACTGCTCCTTGCTGAGATGGGCGTGGGGGTGGGGGTGTGTGCAGAGAATGGCCAGCTCTCATCACATGGATGGCACCTGCCATGGGAGTGCTGCTCCCGCTCCCAGGGGCTGGGTGGGTGCACCCAGGGAGGCCCCTGCAGCCTGACCCTTTGCCAAAACCAAGCTGCTGAGCCCCTAAATGTCTGGAGGGGTGTGTGTGTGTGTGCATTGACCCCAGGGTTGCCACCACAGCCAGGAGCTCTCAGCCCCCTCCTCCCAGAGCCAGCACAGCGGGGCAATGGGGAGCTGGCACAGTGGGGTGGCAGGGATGCGGTCCCTGCCCCAGACCCCATCCTGCGGCTCCAACACCCTCCCCGCGAGCAGGAGCAGCAACAAGCTGGACTGGACCGTCCGGAGCCTGCCGTGCCCTCCCAGCGCCCCGGGACTGTGGCACCCACGTCCCCTTGGCGCCACGCATGGCACCTCGGGGGCCCTGTCTCCTTCCCAGCTGGGCTGCTCGCTCCATCCCACTCATCTGAATTAATTTTCTGCGCGCCATCAGCCAGGCGTGCAGGGGAGGAGGGCGGCGGGCGAGCTGCCATCACCCTGGTCAACTCCTCCGGCGGGTTTTACCCACCCACTCGAAAGAGCAGTGAGGGTTTGGGGTGGAAGGCAGGACAGAAACGATGCTTTCTAAGATTTTGGGTGCAGGGAGGGACTGCCTCATGGCCAGGAGGCATCGTCAGCTGTGGATATTCTTCCCTCCTCAACCCTGGGGTTTTTGAGTGCTCCCCAGTGTCAGTGGTAGCCCATCGCGGCTGCCCTGTGCTCTGAAACTCCTTTGCTTTGGGGTTTTATTCTGGCTGGGCTTTTGCCTGAGGTGCCTGGCTAAGGTGGTTTATTGGAGGCGATGCTAATCCAGCCGAAACAGTGGGCCAGGGAGTATTTTTACCACCCAGCTGTCTGGGCATGTTGGGAGCTTGTTGGGTGACCTGGTGGGGAGCGGTGCCAGCACCCTGACTCGGCGTCTCCTCCAGCCCCGCCGGGCCAGGGTGGGAAATCAGTACACAAAATTCTGAGGAAGGGAGAGCCAGCAGGGCCCTCCTTGCCCCCGCCACCCTGGTAGTGGCTCGTCAGTGCGTGTGAGCGTCAGCCCGGCAGCC